AACCAGACAATTGGATCGGCCCTGATGCAAGAGTTCGAAGGGAAAGAGCGAGTTGTTTTCTATCTCAGTAGGAGACTTCTAGATCCAGAGACAAGATATTCTCCCGTCGAGAAGTTATGCTTATGCTTATATTTCTCTTGCACTAAGTTACGACATTACTTGTTGTCGGCTGAGTGTACAGTTGTCTCCAAGACTGATGTGATCAAGCACATGCTATCAATGCCAATATTGAATGGAAGAATAGGAAAGTGGATTCTTGTGTTGTCAGAATTTGACTTGAGGTACGAATCAGCTAAAACAGTCAAAGGGCAAATAATAGCCGATTTTGTCACCAAGCATCATAAGCCAATTGTTGGCTATGTGGAGCCGGTACCTTGGACGTTGTTCTTTGATGGGTCATCATGCAAGCAAGGTGGTGGTATTGGTATTGTTATTATTTCACCTCGGGGGGCAAGTTTCGAGTTTGCTCTTCTAACTGAACCAATGATTACCAACAACCAAGCGGAATATGAGACTATTCTTAAGGGGCTTCAACTTCTTCATGAAGTAAAGGCCGAGGCAATTGAAGTATTTGGAGATTCACAGTTAATCATTAATCAGTTGATCAGCCTATATGAGTGCAAAGAAGATACTCTGAGGGGATATTATGATGAGTGCCAAAGATTACTCAAGGAATTTCCTCATGTCTCTTTTCAACATATTCCAAGGGCATAGAATCAAGAGGCTAATCGTTTAGCTCAAAGTACATTAGGTTATCAAGTGTTTCAAGAAGTCTTGAGTAGTGAAACCTCGAATAATGATTGGAGAGTTGAAATAGCCGATTACCTTAGGAATCCATCACAGAAAGTTACCAGAAAGCTAAGGTATAAATCGACTAAGTATGTTTTACTGGATGATCAGCTATATTACAAAATAGTCGATGGGGTGTTGCTCAAGTGCTTAAGCCAAGATGAAGCTAAGGTGTTGATGGGCGAAGTGCATGAAGGGATATGTGGAGCTCATCAATCGGCTTATAAGATGAAATGGACTATTCGTAGAACTGGATATTTTTGGCCAATAATATTGGAAGACTGTTTTGAATATTATAAGAGGTGCCAAGACTGTCAACGTTTTGGTAATGTCCAGAAATTGTCTGCATCGGCTATGAATCCAATAATCAAACCATGGTCGTTTCGAGGCTGGGGAATTGATTTAATTGCCAGATTTTTCTGCCCTCAAGTAAAGGACATAAGTTCATATTGGTAGCAACGGATTACTTCACTAAGTGGGTTGAGACAATTCCTTTGAAGACGGTAACCTCAAAGAACATGGTTGATTTTATCAAGGAGCATATTGTGTATCGTTTTGGGATTCCTCAAACTATCACTACCGATCAAGGGACAATGTTTACATCAGAAGAGTTCGGAGATTTTGCTGCCAGTAGGGGAATTAAGCTACTAAATTCTTCTCTTGACTATGCTTAGGCTAATTGCTAGGCAGAGGCGTCCAATCATATTATGATTAAGTTGATCAAGAAAAAGATTGAGGAACAACCAATGAAGTGGCATTCGACGCTTAATGAGGCATTATGGGTATATAGGATGGCCTATCATGGATCAATTAAAACATCCCCTTATGAACTTGTGTATGGTTACAATTTAGTCCTTCCTTGGGAGATTCAAACTGGATCGAGGCGTATCACGTTGCAAAATGATTTGTCAGCCGAAGTCTACAAGAATCTTATGATAGACGACTTGGAGGACTTAAGTTGCCATCGACTGCGTGCTCTTGAGAATATCGAAGCCAATAAACTGAGGGTTGCAAAATATTACAATAAAATGGTCAAGAGCAAGCAATTTTCTGAAGTAGACTTGGTCTGGAAGGTAACATTGCCGATCGGGTCAAAGGACAGCAAGTTCGGTAAATGGTCATCTAATTAGGAAGGACCTTATCGGATTAAACGTTGTGCGCTCGGCAATGCTTATATTTTGGAAACGCTAGGAGGAGAAGAAGAATTTGACAGAGCAATCAATGATAAATATCTAAAGAAATATTATCCTAGCGTTTGGATTAACACTTGACAGCCGATTTGTTTGGTCATCGGTTCTAATAGCCGATACCAGAAGGCTATCGTCTCTAGTTTAAAAATAAACCCGAAGGGATAAAAGCCGGTACGATACGTATTGTCTATAGAGCAAGAACAGACACAGATTGGAACATGGAATAAAAGTGCAAGAAACCAATTAAAACAAAGAAATTGTTTGTCAGCTTCTCCTATTACAAACTAAAGGCCGGGGAACACCTTATTCACTATGTCCTCGGCCTGGGTAGTGAGGGCTACGGAGTTGGCAGTGTCGAAGAAGTCCTCAACCAGACGCTCGTGATCCCTAGGGTGTTTGGTGGCTAGAAAACCATGGGGAAGAAACCATAGCTCGTGGCCAGAGCGGGCCTGTGCAGTAGCCAGTGCCATGGCAGCACCATGAAGAACACCATGAAGAGCGACCTCTCCGACATGATTTGGGATGTCATGCAAGCGAACCACTGGTGCGGCACCCCTGGCATTAACAAATCCTGCCGCGTACTCTGCAGCTGATCAGAGACTTTCCAGCTGAGCCAATAGATCTAAAAGATTCAAATGGGAGATGATTAGAATCTTGAAGACAAAATTAAGAGGAGATAGAAAGTTGTGGTAGGCATCTCACCCGTGATTCTGGCCTCGGCCTCGGCCAACCTATCCTCCACCGGATCAGCCTCGGAAGGCAATCGGCATCGAACCATGGCTAGAGTCGATTCTGCAAGGGAGAGACAGTCGGCAAGATTATGGCCAGCCCAATTAATGAAGGTGAGCAGATCGTCTTTGTCTATCTGTCTCCTTGGATAGCAGGGGAGCTAGCGGCGAGCTATTGATGAGGATAACCCCGAAGGCTGAACGGAGTCAGCCCTATGCCCTGGGATGGTGGGGGCATCATGAGTTGCACCCTCCTAATGACAAAGGTGCTGGCATGATGACGCAGATCCATTGAGGGCCTCCTCAGCAGACCTCTTGCTGTTCTCCATGATCTCAAACCTATGGGAAAGCAGAAATCGCACTAAAGACACGAAAGGTTTGGGATGAGGCAGGTTGTTTTTCGACCCATAGCCGTGACCCATATATATAGCCTAGGAAGGTGAGAGGGTAGATTTTGCCGGGGTTATGGAATTAAAGTCAGATATGGAAACGGATCGACACTTCGGAAATTTAGGGGACGGATCACAAAGAGATAACAGATTCGGACTTGTTACTTCCCATAATCACAAAATATCATGGGATGGATACGAAAGGTTTACATTGACCAGCAATCAACCCACCAAGGCTTCTTTGGATTGAAGGGAGTCCGGATCCCTACGAGGCCGAAGGTCATCATGAACCGAGTCACATCGGCCCGTTGATAAAATTGCATCAGGAAAAGGGGAAAGGCCACCTGCTTAACAGATGTCCAACTGATTTCTCGGTGACTAGAGAACAATGAGAAAGAAAGCCGCCTACTAAAAGATGCTTATTTCTCGCTGGCTGGGAAACTGTGGGAAAGAAGTCTATGGTTTCCCCGACGGGCATTTGATGGAGCGAACAAGGGGAATGTGTCCATGCATTTTAGCCCTTGCAAACACTAGAACAGCTCTGCGATCATGGAGAGAAGACTTAGGTGATATCACAAGAATTCTTCTAACCGCAGTAGCTGGTCCTCTTGCTCGACAAGACGCTAAGATGAGCAACACAATCACCCTATGCACAAGAATTCTTTTAACCACTCAAGATCCTCATAGCAAGGAATCAGATCATGGAGGGTCCGGCGGAGCCAGAGGCACTCGAGAAAGCGGGCAGAAGAGAAACATAACTGAGTTGTTGAATTGCTCTCGCTAGAGTCAGATAGACATTTTATAGTCGGCCTGAAAGATGGATCCAAGCATCTGTGAAGCGATGATGCTCTCGTAAAGTTTTGAAGCATGGGCTCATAAGCTGGCAAGGACAGTGACCGACAGTAGACCCCAGATCAAGATTCTCTACCCGTGACCATGGACCTATCGGGGGTACATGCACGATAATTTTTAAATAAAATTACTTTTATCCTAAAATTGAGGGGCATGTGTCTACCCCAAAATTTAGGAAGAAGAATTACAAGGAACTCGAAAGCCCCCAAGATCGTGTCATCGAGGAATCGATTGCATAAAGGTCGGTATCAGCTGATTCGAATGCAGTACTGGAATCGGCTCTCTCTAGATAGCGCCAACAGATAACGATAAAAGCTGTGGTTGGCGTCGGGAAAAAACATGTTGGACTCTACAAAAAGGGAAATATTAGGGTCCAAATTATCTTAAATTAGGAATGTTTTCTCTTATGCCAAAGATTATAATGAGTCGTGCTTAAGTAGGATTCATGCGTAGGTTCCGGGTATAAATATTGAACCCCGACTATTGTAAAGGACACACAATAAAATAAATACAAGTTACTTACTTTTTTTGCTTCGGCCACCCCTTAGGAGTAGGAGTAGAGTGGATCTTGCCGAGTTCTTCAGCGAGCAGGGCTATATCGGTCTGGCCGATCTCCGGCTTGTCTGTAAGTACCGTCATGGCTTATACTTCTATTTGTACGGCTGTATCGATCCGGTCGACCTCCACTGTGACTCTGGTATAAGCTAGTTATCAACTCTTATCTAATTAAAGTAATTAGATTAAGGTTAAGCTATTGGCTCTACCTAAGAGTAATAATCTTTGATAGATTTATTAAGTTATCGATCTTGCAGATGCTCTTATCGCAGCAACATCATCCCCCCATCGTCACGGGTGGGCGAGCCACCTCCCCTCTAGCTCGAGTCTCCCGTCTATAAAAAGCCGCCACCCACGCTCTGGCAACCACCACACAGCTCGACAGAGAGAAAAGTGAAGCAAAGCAACAAAGCCATCTACGCTACTCACCGCTACGAGCCAACGAGTCGATCTCCACAGCACCTCTGAACATACACACTCCAATGGCAGCAACGGTAATGGCCTCCATGAGCATGAGCTCCCTCGCCTTCGCCACCGCGGGCACACGTGCCGGCGCCTTCCCGGTACGGCTCCCGGCGTCTGCGCTCGCGCTCGCGCCGCGCCGCCGCGCCTTGGTCGTGAGGGAGCAGAGCGAGGACGCTGAACCAACGGAGGAGACGACGACTGCGGCCACCACCTCCTCGTCACCTTCTCCGGCGGCCACTACCCCGACGCCCAAGCCCAAGGCAAAGGCGACGATCCCCGGGATGTGGGACACGCTGGCGTTCCACGGGCAGGCTCCGGAGCGCATCAATGGCCGGCTCGCCATGGTGGGCTTCGTGTCCGCGCTCGCCGTCGAGGCGTCCCGCGGCGGGAGCCTCCTCTCGTAGGCCGGCAGCGGCTCCGGGCTCGCCTGGTTCGCGGCCACGGCCACCGTGCTGTCTGTGGTGTCGCTGGTGCCGGTGCTGAAGGGGGACAGCGCCGAGGCCAGGAGCGGCGCCGTCAGTGCCGGCCCTAGGGGTAGGCCAGGAGGTGCGACGGCCGAGGGCCCAAGTGGATGAGAGGCCTAAGTCCAGGTATACAAATCCACAGGTCCTATAGTTCATTAGACATTAGCAAATTAATAAGAAGAGAGACATAGAACCGACTAGACGGCCAAAAAAGATAACATCGGCATTTCTTTCCTAGTTTCCTTTCCCCATGGCCCTCGGGTAGAGAGGAGGCGAGGAGTCACGCTGCACACAGCACACTCTGATCGTGAGTTCGTGACATGTGTCTTACACACGCGAAGCTGACGAGCCGCACCGCCGTGAAGAGCTAGACTACTGGAGACACGGACACGGCACACGAGGACAGCGACTAAGCAGGGCTCCACGACGACGACATCTTGATTCTTGGCTTCTTACGAATTGTGATCACCGATCAGTTGTTTAGGTCCAAGGTATTTTTTCCTTTTTATTTTTAATCCAAATTAATTATTTGTATAGTATTTCAGACTTCTAGTACTTTGTACCCATATAGTCATATTTTTCTTCTAATTTAGGTGTTAGAATTTTAGAATGTTACATAAGAAACATTTGTCGTGGGTGAGAAAAGAAAACGAATATATTGCTTTTTTAATCTACATTATTCCTCAATAATTATCATACATCTATAAATATATTGCTTAATCTACATCGTCCCTCGATAATTATCAGACATGTTAAATTAAAAATATGTTATTAAATTTTATTTCGTTTTGCAAGTAAAATTAGTACATATATATTATAAGATTTTATACATGATCAATAGGGGCCGTTGCGACGAGATCGCAAGAGGGCTCATAAAATCCTAGGACCGGCACTGGGCGCCGTCATGAGCGCCGACGCCGAGCTCTGGAACGGCCGCTTCGCCATGCTCGGCCTCGTCGCGCTCGCCTTCACTGAGTACCTCACCGGCGCGCCGTTCATCAAACGCCTAGATGCATGCTGCATGCATAGTAGGCGGCTGTGTCCAAGCCAGTGCATGTATGCAGTAGTAAGTAGTACTCCGTAGTAACTTCGTAGGAATATTTTGTAACTCTGTATGCAAGTAGTACTACCTTCCGTGTACGAGCCTACCTACAGTTGGACGAGCTAGTTTTATGTACGTTTCGGATAAAAAAATAGCTACGAAACTATTTGCTGGGAAAGACATGCAATTCTAACATATATACAGGATCGAGTCAAACTATTATATTATATTTAATCAAATATGTAAAAAATATTAATATTTATGATACTAAATAAGTGTGATCAGATTCGTTATTATCAAATATATTTTTATAGTACACCTCTCTTGTCTTATAAATATTATATATTTTATTAAACTTTAAATAGTCTGAATAAAGATAGAAACAGAATTTCAACCTTTTGAGAATGGAGATGCTATTGCAATAGCACTACGGGTATGTTTGTTTCAGTTTTTTGTTGGCTTCTATCAGCTAAAGGCTGAAACAAACAATCTATCTGTTGAGCTGGTTTTTGAAAAGCTAGAAAGTTAGCTTGTGAGGAAATAAACTAAAAGCTGAAAAGCACATTTTAAGTAGCTTTTTAGGTTTTTGGTGTACTGAGAAGCTAAAATTTATGTTAGCTAAAGGCGGTTTTCGCTTCTAATAAAGTGATGGTTCTGTCGATGATGACGGCTACTAAAGCTGCACACACATGCGCAACATTGCTTGCAGCTTATTCGAACCGCCCCATGGCAAAAGAAAAACCCAATAGCTAGAAGCCAAAAGCAAAATAGCTAGCTTTTGTGCTAAAATTTTTAAAAAGTTACAGCTCAAACAAACATGCTCTAAGAGTCGGCATCCTATTAACAACCAAATAGGCCACGTAATTGCATAGCTAGCAAGTACATTATTACATTTTATATTTGTTTACACCAAAATTTTAGGAAGAAGAATTGTAAGGAACTCGAAAGCCCTCAAGATCGTGTCATCGAGGAATCGATTGTATAAAGGTCGGTATCAGCTGATTTGAATGCAGTATTGGAATCGGCTCTCTGCAACTAGCGCCAGCAAATAACGATAAAAGCTGCGGTTGGCGTCGGGAAAAAACATGTTGGACTCTATAAAAAGGAAAAGATTAGGGTACAAGTTATCTTAAATTAGAAATGCTTTCTCTTATATCAAAGATTGTAATGAGTCGTGCTTAAGTATGATTCATGCGTAGGTTCCGAGTATAAATATTGGACCCTCGGCTATTGTAAAGGACACACAATCAATTAAATACAAGTTACTTACTTTTTCGACTCGGGCCACCCTTTAGGAGTAGGAGTTGAGTAGATCTCGACGAGTTCTTCAGCGAGCAGGGCTGCATCGGTCCGGCCGACCTCCGGCTTGTCTGTAAGTACCGTCATGGCTTATACTTCTGTTCGTACGGCTGCATCGATCCGGTCGATCTCCACCGCAACTCTGGTATAAGCTAGTTATCGACTCTTGTCTAGTTCAAGTATGGCTGCATCGATCCGGTCGACCTCCACTGCTCGAATTAGATTAAGGTCAAGTTATCGGCTCTACCTAAGAGTGACAATCTTTGATAGATTCATTAAGTTGTCGATCTTGCTGATGCTCTTATCGTCATTAGTTTACAGCAACATCAACCTGCCCGATCGAGATCGATTTAGATCGGCCTCATATCCTTTGGGTCCATCGTTTGCTTTGTCACAACACGATACTTCTTACAATGAACGACGGGTTATGTCTTATCGGTTGTTCTACTTCGATCTTGGTCGCGCATAGGATGCGGTTAAGGCACGTATGATCCTGGAGAGATTTGCTGGTTTGTTAAATCTAGTCTACGGTTCACTATTATGGCTGTAACGATCCAGTTGATTCCCACTGATAGCACTGTAGATTGGAGGATGCTAGTTAGTAGATCTGTTCTTGATTAGATGTGACCTTAACTGTTTGCTATGCCTGCATCGGCTAAATAGCCGATCGTTTGCGCATTAACGCCTACAACATGTTTACATGATTGTGTTAAATGTGAATAGATCTGTTTACTTTAAAGGTTTGATTTGTTGTCTTTTTCACGGCTGCATCGATCCGGTCGAACCCCACTGTTAGAGATAGCAGGTTATGTCTGATGAGTCCATGGGCCTGTCCATGTGAAATAGTCGATTGTTCACACGTTGTAGTTCTCTTCACCTGAATCGGCTATTTTAGCCGATTCATCCGAGCCTTCACGTATAGCATGTCTTTCGAAAAGCCTATCGAAGTATAGATTGTTTTACATATTCTTCGGTTTTAGTTTGTTATTATCATCATAGCTACCATCGATCCGGTCGAACCTCACTATTGATGGTAACAGATTAGATTCAGAGCGTCTGTAGATTCATTTGTATTAGATAGTTGATTTGTTCTCGTGTTATATCCTTTCTCGTTAGATTCATCGGCTCAATGATTCATATGGGTAATATCCACCTAGTTGATGATCTTATTTACATATACATGTATTGTACCTGTCAACATAAAATCAATTGCTACCCACGAGCTTTACAGTCCATAACAGCCGATTTATCGGCTATTTAATCATTTTCCCGTATGGCTGCTCCTGAAGCGGCACACTTGGAACTGTCTGAACACAGACCGGCACGTTCCACCTTAAATTACTGATAAACTTTCTCTCCTTGTCAATTGCAGGGTCAAATTGACTGGCACGTCTCAGGAGGAATACGCAGGATCGATTATCCCTGCGTTGAAGACAGACGGATCTCCAGCTCCATCGAGCAGACCCTTCCGGCTTGCTCGTGTGTCGACACATTTTCGTGCCGACAATATTATATTATGTAACCAAGCTATATCCTCTTTATTTGTTTTTATTCTCATGTCAAGTTTTTTAGAGTTCAAGGGCCACTGCCCCGGCCTTTCATTAGCATAAAAGACCACAGATCATTCAGTTACAACACTGATTTTACCATCCATCGTGCCCAGCACATGCTAGAGTTGGGGAAAGTCTATGGAAGAGTATGGAAATACTGCTTCACAGGATAGGTGGTGTGCTGCAAAACTGGGTGATCCTATGTCCACAAGAGAAGTCAGCTGCTGGATGTTATCAACAAGATCAAGGAAGCCGCCAAGGAGGTCCTCTGGCTGCCTTATCAAGTGGTGACCTAAAAAACACGGTGGGTGTTGAGGACAGTAACAGCAAGTGGAAGACCTTTCACCTCAATTAGAAGGGTGGACAAGAGGGCTTCATTGTGATCCCCTAGTGGTGGTCGCTCAATGAGATTTTGGAGACGGTGTGAGGTGTAGAGAGGTCTCGGGCATCAGCCTCTTTTTCATATCAGTTTTCCTTTCTCATGTCATGTTACTAAATCGATGGTTTTTTTAGCGTTTCTTGATTTCAAACATAGGTGTTCACCTTTTTTACGAACACACCTTATCTCTACCTTATTCCTTGGTTGTCTGCCTCTTTTGTCTGGTGCTACTCCAAATAATTTTGGTGTGTAGTCCACAGTGAACGGGGTCCTCAGTGAAGCACCTCATAGTTCTAGTGCCCTTTATTTGGTGTACACCAGAGAGCTCTAGTGCTCTCAACTTACATTGACCCACATGTGCATCCTCTTTGTATTGAAACTCATCCGGTGCTGTCCTAGAAGTATATGCAGTGCACACCTCAACACAATGTCTTGGACCTTAGCCCGACTAGATTTCTCCGATGCTCATCGAAAAGCTCTGGTGCTTTTTTCCATTGCCCTTGTGAGTGATTTCTTCATGTGCTTTTGTCCAAGCTTCTCTTCCTTGATGTCTTGAGCCTCTTGTTTGTCTTCTTGGGTCTCCAGTACTCATCTTTGATCTTCATATGAGGTGTTGATTACTTGATCTTCACCTTAGCCTAGCTCAAGTCCATCTTTGCACTCTATGGGC